ATTCCCGTGAATGCTTTTTTGTGCTGCTTTTTTCTTCTTCCAGTCCTCCCTTTTAGTGAATGGTGTTTTTTCTCTCACATGTGGGGATGTTCGTGCTGCAAAAAAAAGAAAAAAAAAACACACACAAAAAAATTTAAAAACACAAAAAAAAACAAAAAAGGAAAAAAGCAAGAATGAAAATAATCTAAAAATTTTAAAAAACACACACAAAAACACAAAAAAAAGAAAAAATGAAATCGAATGTAGTGTTTACATTAAAGCCACAGTTTTCATGACCAATCCTTCATCATTTCTACTTTGATTAGTAACCAGATGTCTTCACAGTTTCACTTTTAAGAGTTACCTTTGCTGAAGAAAAGCAGTCGCACCTGTTTAAAATAAAATGAATAAATAAAGAGGAAACTAAAATATTATATATATATATAAAGCGCCAGGTCTTTCTAAGCCTTTCTATTACCAATCAGTGAGGTTTCTGTGATATATTACACACTGCCAATCTTTCTCTGACTAATGGAAAATTCATGTGTAGCTCAATAAAGAGAATGTTTGTCTGTATGCCTGGTCTCTCACCTCCTGGTTTTCCATCTAATTCTTTTGCTGTGTTTCTTGATTCATTTTCTTTGCCAAGCAAAAAACAAACAAAAAAAAACAAAATAACTGGCTTGTGCTGCTGAAAAAAAAATCCATATGGAAGATGTTTCGTGTGGGATTCTCCAGAAAAATCACTTTTCTGCTAGGCAGGATTTGGCACTGCAGGATGCTCCACTGTATTTATACGGCATTGCTTCCCCACAGAGTCCAAGGGGCCCCTACTGCCACTCGAGGTCTTGGGCCCTTGAGTCATATTCAGAAGGCTCTAAGTGGGGCAACCCATTCCCCATCCCAAGTCAAATGTGTTTGACCTTAAATTCCTCCCCAGCCCCTTAGTCTGATTGCATCGCTCTGCGCATTTGCTCACCCACATCCTGGCTGAGCAGAAAGGCAGATTCCTGAGTGACTCTTGCCCATGCACACAATAAGAGGCCAGCGACAGTTTCATCTCACTGCAATAACTTGCATGCATAAGTGGTAAAAAGAGCTGAATGGCAAGAGTTTTAAGGAAAGAAATATAAACCCTGAGAGCAGCAAAGCCACTCCTGCCTCCAGCATTTAATATCACAGTTAGAGAAGCGTAGCAGAACAGGCTAAAGCGAGACTGGAACATGGGATAGTCTGGCTAGGCAATAAGTCCAGTGAAAAATGTTCGACGGATGCTACTTCGAAAAAGCAGAATTGATTTTGAAGAACACTTTTGGATCCCTCCCACTCACTTTCCGTAAATGTTCTGCCTAATGAACCATCAGAAGGCTTGTCTAATAAAATCAGAAGCGCATTTCAGGTGATATTTGCAGAAAACTAATTCTGAACAAATAAAGCTCCTATATGCACTAAGTTCCAAGACTCACATCATTCAAGAAAGAAGCACAAGACCTTTATATCTCATGAAAGCTGATGAGCAGAGCTCAAATACTACATTAAAGCACCCAGGTACAGCTGAAGAACTGAGAAGACTGAACACTAAGCATTTATGGAAGAATTCTTGCAGCTGTGACATTTATGATCCCTGCAGAAATTCTGTAAACAGAAACCCGTAGAAAAAAGAGGCATGTTTCCATGCACTGTGCTTGCCATCTAATGGACAAGCTGCTTCAGACTCCCTCAGGATCCACTCACCGTGATCTGCTACTCGTGCCCGTCTCCAGGAGCCTGTTGTCCAGCTATGCTGGACGTTTCCACGGGAGGACGGACCACGTAGGCACTTCTCTCATCCCCAAATGTGGATATTGCCTTGAGGAGAGATCAGCTACTAAGCAGCACATCTGTGACACCGGTTTTGTCACCGGTCACTACAGATTTTGTTTCAAACAGCAAAAGACACAGCAATATATCCATGCTCACATTTGCATTTCCCAGGATGTTTCACGAGGATGCATTTCATCCTCGTGAAACATCAAATTAATTCCCAGTGTGGACAGAGCCACTCGAGGTTGCCATGCTGGCAAAACGTAATTTTTCCATAAATACCATATAGTTAGAAGTGCTTGGGGTGTTTTGCAGAGCACTGTGAGCATAAAGCTCTTGTAGCCTGCGAACACTGGAGCGTCCTGAATAACTGATCTCGACTGGGGGAAAATTCATGGAGGACAAGATTATCTGCTTTATCTATGCTTCAAAATCCTGAGTTTCTCGCAATGACAGCTGTGGGCCTGAGCATTGTAGCCCCTGGTGCTGCTGCACGCCGAAATACAAACAGTGAGACCAAGAGGACGCTCACTATCTGAAAAGCCAGCTCCCAAGTTTAAGTTATTGTGTTTAATACACAATAAAAATCTTGCAGACAACTCAAATTGCTTTGGAGATTTAGTTGTAGAAAAACCACCACCAACAACCCCCCCATAAAACCTTCCCAAACAAGAAATAAAAAAGAAACGCCTAGTACAGAGCGCTGGGAAACACAGTCATTTCTATTTATTTTGACAAGAACATTATGGCTATTTAACAAACACATCCATATTTAGGTTTTGAGCAATGCAAACACTACCAACAAGGGCAACGAGTTAGAAAGAAATTTTCCAGGGGGGAGATTTGTCCTGCAGTCGCTAACCGCAGAATTTCTTGGAGTTCCCTTGGGGATAGCTCGTGCAGACGCTAGCACAGAGAGGATCCATGCTCCTTCCTCATTGCTCCAGCAACAACGCTGCAGATCTGCAGATCTCAGCCGCTCCTCCACGGTGCAACCTGCGCACCCCAGCCACTCTTCGTGCATCTCCGCCATTCCTGCGGGACACAACCCGGGCACCTCGGCTGCTCCCCCAGCGTGTGGCTCATGGAAATGGGCCACACGCCGACCTTGAAGGGAAAGGCCCTGGAACGGAGGCTCGCACCGGAGAATCTCTCCAGAGAAGTAAAATTGCCAGAAAAAGCCGCAAACTGGAGCAGATACAAGAGTCCGCTCCCACCACCACTCACGCCCGGACGGCCGGAGTCGCCGCGCAGGCGGGGAAGAGCGCCCCCTACC